CTTCAAAGCTAATATTCTTTGATGGAGATGGATGCCGAGCTTACGACTCCAACTGACCTCCCTGTAAATTCAGTTCAGGAGCGAGTCTACAGAGGAGATGGATGTCGAGTTTACGACTACAACTGACCTTCCTGTAAGTTTAGTTCAGGAGCGAGTCTACAGAGGAGATGGATGTGGAGGCAAGGGTTGCGGTGGGCCTCCACCGCAACCCGCAAGGGTTGCGGTAGAGGGTCGAATAGACCCACTCACTTTGGACCTAACCTAACCTAGACTCAAAGATTTGTCGGATATGGAACGAAATCTTTTGAAGGATGAAAATGAGTACGAAGAAGAAATTTTGAAATCTTGGAACAGATTACCTGACACGTATACCTGAAAGATTAAGCAATGGCTTTGCTAACAATATTTTCATTCAAATATTTTTGTGACACAGCATTGAATAATATTAGGACAAACAAACGAAAACGGCTGACAGATGAAGCCAGTGGCGCTTGCTTGGCTTTGAAGTGAATAAACCCGAAATAGAAGATTCAGCAGACAAACTTCAGCTCCGAGGTGCCATTCATCACGATCGTTACAATCTCCAAATTCAAGTGTATATAATCACGGTTAGTATTCAAAAGTAAACAAAACAATCAACAATGGCGACTAACCCATTGCGACTGCATTCGTAACCCATCATGCTCAATATAATAATTGATGGCCGAATTCCATATGATGCGGCAATGGCCTGGCGCTGGAAACACGATAACGGAAAGTAGCTGGTATCAAAATGAAGTTCAGTTACAGAATGCTGGAGCGATGTTATCCCCTCAAAAAAAGCTATGTGCGAATTATGTTGAACTGTTGCCATCAATGTCTGATGATTCTATAGATGGCCCAGTAATGAGCTGACCGTCAAGTTTTGTTGGGCGATCTTACAAGTCGTTATATAGAAGTTCCAACCTTTGTGCCAAACATGTTCAAAGACCTTGGAAATATCGTCAGTAACATTTCGAATCTCTCCATCTTTTTGTTTGTCATTGCTTCCGGCAACCATATTGATAATCGTGTAAGCTATTGAAGCCTTCCAAATATTTCACAATGTGTCGGTTGATAGATTTCTTTATGATTTTCAATACTATTAATTGTGAAACAACTGGTATATTTGGGAAGTTTTTCGTACTCTTTTCAGGTAAAGTTTGAATTAAAGAAGTTTCCCAGCAAGAAGAAACTCTTTTTGAAGCTTGTTTTTTACATTTTGCATTAAGTGTGGTAGTGAGAACATTTGTCTCACTCAAAATGGTTGAAATCGCTTTCATATCCCGTTTTTAAAAAACGTTATTAATTTAGGAAAGAACGATTTTGGTTTTCTACTTCTCCATAATATACCTCTTTCAAGTTCCCAATTTAGTTTTTTGATTAGATGAAAATAGTTCTGAAGAATGTCACTGAGAAATCTTATTCCTTCCATTATACTGTTGCTAAATGAATAAAATTTGGTAACTTATATGGAGTGGTGATAAAGTAGAACATGTATTGAGAAACTTATTTACTTCAAATATATAGATACATAAATTTAATATTGTATCAATATAGTGCAAAGTTATAAATGAATTCGCATATATTGCAGTCTATTGAAATAAAATAGGAAACTATTAAAAAGTATGAGCATTTCTGCATACTCCACAGCCCAAAGCAAATTCCTCACCAGTTGGAGGATGCTTAACATGTAGGGGACACTCATCGCCTTCTAGCTGTTTGGCTCTTGGACCTACAAGAAAAAGGTAAAAATTCATTTTTCATCATTCATTTCCTTATAGGTTTATATTTCTTGGGACCAATGAACATTATCATTTCTAATCTCACCTGCTGGGCAAGAAGGAAGCTCGTTTTTGGGTAGGTTGGTGACCCTTTGGAAATCGTCGTGGCAAGGGTTACAGAAGTGAGTTGTTCCAAAACAAAAGAAAACAGCGACGGAACAGCAATATCGACATTTATATTCCAGGAAGTCGGTACCGTGTTTGGGGCACATCTGAGCTCTAGCGACGTCTGAACAAGCTCCACAAACCAACTCTTTCGGATCATAATTTTCGCCCATTTCCACATCGCATCTTGCTTCACCACCATAATATGCCTGAAATTGAAAAAATTAATTGAGGTAGTTCTGCACCGAAAATTTCAACGAAGCCAAAATGAATAGAAAAAAGATAATAATGATATAACATTTCAACTATCTCAACTCTTTTACAACAGAATTATGACCGCATATTTGAAGAGAACATAAGAGGCAATATCTGAATAATCAGAAACTAAGGTTCAGTCACCTTATTTTTCAAAAAGACCTTGTAAAGGTAATATCTAGCAAGTAATATTATCGTATTTAAGAAAATATTTGTAAAAAAAAATTGGTGTATGGTTTTAGGATGATTAAATCCCCATTTGATATATGATTTTATGAATAATTCAACTTTTCATTGAAATTCTTTTTTTTGATAATGAAAACCATATTTTTCTCACCTTTTTGCACTTGTAACAAACATAATACGCATATCTGTCCATCGCATATGATCCTGGATCATTGAAAAATCGTGCTCCTTGTATCATTACAGCTTCAGCAGTATGGAGGCCTTCATATTCTAACCTCATCAAAGCTTTCCGTCTCACATCTTTGTACAGTTCTTGGACAGGTGATAATATATCAGTCAACGTTTCGTGTTTGATTTCCTCCTGGAAGCAACATAATATGTTTGAATGAATCAAAAGAAATATCAATATTGATAATATATTCTTATATATAAAATTCTCGCGTCACGGTGTTTGTGGTAACACTCTCTCGAAAAGGTTCTACCTTGGTAGGTATGAGAATAGGACGTAAAGTATATTTCATTACGCTAGATGATTAAGGTGTCCCCATCCAGAAAAACATTTATTTTGTATTTTATTATTTGGCATCGAATTTGATACCTTATGGAAATACTTTATATAGCAGAACAAGAAATATATCAAGAGCCGTTCGTTGGTTTTGATTTGTGAATTCCTATTTCTGTCTGACCAGATTCTAATGTAGTTTTTGGCTATATTATTACTTGAAATTCTCTGCGAACAATTGATTGAAACTCATCAATAAAAAACTATAACTCGCTCACCTTGCAAATTGGGCACTGTATGAAAGAAAAAGTGATTCTCGGTCCTGCCCAACGCTTCATCAACACTGCTTTACAGCAGTGCAAATGAAAAACATGCCCGCATCCCAGCTACAATACAGAGAAAATATTTATAAAACAGTTTGAAAATTAGACATTCGGAATACCTGAATCGCAGGCGCACAAGAAAGGGCTTCTGTAAAGCAAATCATGCACATGTCATCTGAATCTTGTCTGAGAGTAGTATCGCCTGAACAACCTATAATGTGAACACAAAATTAGTTTCATCATGTTTTAAGCCACGTTTCACTTAATAAAAGAATATTACGTTCTTGCTGCTTATAATTTTATAATACTGTCAACAGTATACGCCTATGGCACACTAAACACTGATTTTGTGTCCGACGAGAGAGGAGGGGCCTGCCTTCCGCTGACGTACGCGTGAGAGAAAGGGAAGCTAGATAGACTGGCGCTGTAACGCATTAGGTAACGAAGCGGTTTACCCTCCCATAAAAAGTTATCACTCAAAAAATTTAATACTGGAACAAACACGACCAGCCGAAAGTGTTGTTTGCTTCCGCGAAATTATCCATATAAATGAGCGGTGGTCACTGTCCTTAAATTGTTATAAGATACCTAACGGCCGATTTCATAATCATTATCTAAAGTCCACTTTACGAAAGGAGACTTTACACTAAAGTTCCCTTTAAACTAGCTCTTGTCGTCATTTGGTTTCATAATTGATATTAAAGTGCCCTTTCCATAAAGTATCTTTTAAGTAATTTTCAAGATGTTGGTTAGCCTAAAATTCAATATTTTTTATTGCCTAATCAATCTGTACAAAATATATGTACAAACGTGTAGTATTATCATCCTTCTACCTGAAACTCCCTGCAAAGAAATAGTGAATTACCTGGCATTCGTGATCTGCACAAATATTTCCGATAGCCAACAACCCGGAATTACCGGTGGTACCGCAGAATCTGCAGATGCCGCTCATACCAACACATTTGGTGCGTGTGCCGCCTTCTCTAAATTCTATCAGAGCTTTCAAAGTCCTCGGGTCCGCGAGAGCCAGTAGCCAGAATAGTTTCGTTCTGCCGCAACCTTCGTGCAACTCTACTTTGATGGCTTCTTCTTCCTCTTTACAAACCTTGTCAGAAGAAAAATGCAGTAAAAATACATGATTATTTTTATAACAATAATTTTGACGGAGAGAGATAATAAGGTTGAGGGTCTTCAGCATAAGAGATTTAATCGTATAGGAAATATCTTGTTACGCTATGAACTGGCACTAACTATAATTCAAAAAAATAGAATCTAGAAGCATTCAAAACGTTCAGACTTCGCCTCGGCCATACAAGGCTCACTCATGAATACCTAATAACTGGAAACCAAAAACCATCCTGTGATATATGCGAGACAGACCTCTCAGTAAAACACATATCAGTAGAGTGTCCAATGTACTGTGCGGAAAGGCTGGAGCATAACTTAGCGGAAAATCTCCAAGACATCTTAGGGGAAAACTGTTATAGAAACCACTCATCTCATTCTTAACCGACATAAAGATATTACATAAATTGTAAACAACTTTTGTAAAATACTATGTCAACCGCTAATAACCTTGATGGTTGATGCGGATATTTTGTAAATAAAAAAAAAACGTTTATTCACTTGAATCCTGGAAGTGTTTTCTACTTTTTTTTCTTGGTACCTAAAGTCTATCCAAATCCAAGATAGAGTGGATGTAAACATTGACATGCCCTATAATGTCTTTTTTGGATCGTTTCCTGGCTGGACTTAGAGGATAGCTCACAGTGTCATCAGCAGTGTCTGTATTGGACATCTTGGAAAACAATTTTAAACAATATACTATAACGCACGCCACACAAACACGCAAACGACTGATTACAACCCTGTGCTGGTACCGAACTCGTACCAAGAAGACGAATTCACCAATGAACTCTGCCCTATCCATCTGACACTGGGCGATCACGTGAACATCACGCTTCGGTTTAGTTTTGTTTCACTCTATCTTGGATTTGGATAGACTTTAGGGTAATTATTTTTCTACATTTTTAATTCACAGCTTATGATGAATTATTAGTAATACAAGTTTTGAACAGAACTTAGTTAATATTTTCAAGTAACAAAAACCAATGTTTTTTATTTCTCATTTGAAATGACATGTTTTGTTAAGATCATAGACCTCCGGTCCACCCCCATAAATCTGTTTGAAAAAAATTGCTGCTGAATGCTAGGAAATCAAAATGCAGTAATAATATCGTAATGATTATTCAATTTCTATTCTGTTAGTACCAGTTTCTGATGATTCTCAAAGAAAAAACATTTGGAGACATCAAATTTCGAATCTGTCTCCATGTGATATTTTCAAACACCTCAGGAAGCTTTTTCAAAAAGTTGTTACTACTCCCACTTCTGAACTATAATTGGTATCCAGGTAACATTTTTCAACAGTAAATCACTCTTAATGAGTTGTTCCCCTTCGATGTCTTCATTAGTAAAGGTACTATGCCATTTCTGGCTCGAAGTCCTATGCTTTTTCTCATGATACTTCATTTCAGTCATCGTTTCAAGGCCATTCGAGCGTAGAGCTGTGTACGATCACTAGCATAGACTATACGGACCATAGGTGGATCATACGGGAATCGGATACAGGGTGATATCATAAAATTATAAAATGGCAGCATTCCAAAAGGGCACTGAGCCGTATCTTCACTAATCATGGTCGGTGCAGCACATCAAATGAAACGAGAAGGGATGAGGAATTTATTGACAAAGAAAAATCAAAGATGGTGACATACCAGAAAGGCACTAACACATACCTTCATTAATAATAGTCGTATCAATCTTACACACGTCACACTTACCTTGAGTTGGGTGTTCTATAAGATTTCGCCCTTTCATTTGATGTGCTACACGTCTCGATCCAACTATTATTAATGAAGATATAACTTAGTACCTTTCTGTTATGTCACCATCTTTGATATTTCTTTATTAATAAATTCATCATTCCTTTTCGTTTCAGTTGATGTGCTGCACCTGACGATCCGACATATTAGCGAATATACAGTTTAGTGCCCTATCGGATACAGGGTACCTGTATCCGATTCCCATATAACCCACCCTAAGGTCCGACTCGATGATCTCATCCCGTAGAGTCTCTGCCACCGATTGTGCTCGAATGACGTTGAATGGATCGTAAATGACTGAAATGAAGCATCATGAGAAAAAGCATTGGATTTTGAGCTAGAAAAGGCATAGTGCCTGAAGAAAGGCATAAACTAAAAAACCAGAATGTTTATATGTTATGTGGTGAATAGTATAAACTATATAACACGAGAACATATAAACAGCTCAAAAACAGAACAAGCATCCTCTGCTTCCTCCCGCATTAGTATCAGAAGAGAGAATTTCAATGCAATCATCAAACAGACGGCTTGCATAAACCATAATAGAAATAATTTCTGTTACTAAAACAGTACATAAGATTCTTTTCTCCCGATTTTAGGGCTTTGTTCATAAGATGGAACTATTTGTATTCCATTGAAACAGATCCTATCTCAGACGAAAGTTTTGTATATGCTATTTTGGTTAGATCTGTCCTACAATGATGAGAAGATATATTGGGAAACAGGTCTCTAGGTGATCACTCGATTGATTTCAGTGAGTTCTTGTTGCTCATTAAACGAGAATCATCTGCAACAATTTCTTCTGTGAGAAGAGTTGCACAAATATCTGTCGTGATATCAACCGTTGAAGTAGTGTTTTCCAGCAGGCATTCACCAAAACCTGCTGTGCAGGACCGTTGGAAGAGGTGAACGCTTCGAATTTCAATTCCTCTAGGCAAACAAAGAAAATATAGAAAGGCGATTATATCAATAAAGAGGAACGATATCTTGCAGGAAGTGACTTCGCTTTCAATTCTGGTTATTAATTCTCGAAGGGCAAAGGAAACAAAATTATGTGGGTACGGAGAAACTGAGCTAGAAGAGTTTATATTGGAATTTGTACTATTTATACTTTTTGAACATTCTTTACAAGAATACATATCGTATTTCACAACAACATAATTTCCACTAGTTTCTACTGTATGTTGACGCTAGTGAAAGAAAGTAGGTGTTTCGAAACCATAAGGGCGGGATTATAATACTGTTGATACACTACTACCTATCAAAAATTACCTGTCTCTGATGATTCCTCGTTTTTCTATGCAAGTGGAGGTACCTATCACAATCAGCGCACAAGTTTCCACAGTGACTGCACTGCACAACAGCGACAGTTTCTCCGTCATCATGGTTACCACACGTTGGTCTCGGGGGCATTGGCTGACCCTCTGGTTGGCTCCATTGACCTAAAATATCACATAATGAAAACAAAACTTTCTTTTCGTCAGCAGTTCAATAGTGAAATAGTACAAGAGCCAAAAATGATAGTTCAAATATTTTTTTATGAAACTGCTCAAGTGAAGAACTACCTGACGACAGTCTTTCGACATGATCCTCATCCAAGACACACAGTGAAGCCAAAGCAAGCCACAACGTCGGAGTTCTCAGACAGTTCGTTGGTAATCTCAGATCTTCAGAAAGATAGGTCAGGTGTAGTATGTTTTCTGCTATCGCACCTNACAGATGAGGCAGTATCACCAGAAAACAAAAAAATCCGCAAAATCGTTTTAAATGATCGAAAAGTGAAATTGCGAGAGTTAGCTGACATTGTAAAGATATCAAAAAACGTGTTGGCTTTATATTGCATGAGCATTTGGCTATGAGACAGATCGGTTCGAAGTGGGTGCCGCGCGAGCTCACTGTTGACCGAAAACAAGAACGTCTTGATGATTCTGAGCAGTATATGGCCATGTTTAAACACAACAAATCGGAATTTTTGCGTGGATATATGACAATGAATGAAACATGGGTCTATCACTAAACTCCGGAATTAAAACGATCGTCATCTGAGTAGAGAGCATCTGGTGAACCTCTTCCAAAGCGCCCGAAAGTATAATAATCTTCTGGAAAGGTTATGGCCTCGGTATTTTGAGATGTGCGTGGTGTAATATTAATCGACTATCTTGAGAAGGAAAATACTATCAACAGTGAATATTATACAGCGTTATTGGAGCGTTTGAAGGCCGAAATTGTAAAAAAACGACCGCATATGGCAAAGAAAAAAAATTTGTTTCATCAAGACAACGCACCGTGTCAAAATCAATCAAAACAATGGCAAAATTGCATGAATAAGGCTTCGAATTGCTTCCGCATCTACCGTATTCTCTAGGTCTAGCCTCCAGTGACTTTTTTCTGTTCCCAAACCTCAATGAAATGCTCACCGCTAAGAAACTTCGCTTGAATGAAGAGGTTATTGGTGCTGAAACTAAGGCCTATATTTTGAGGAAAACATAAATCGTTCTACAAAAGTGGTATTGAAATGTTAGAGCGACGCGTTTTCTTCATTATGTACGGGACTTTCCAGCCCATGTGTACTTATCATGTAAGCTGGACACTTTTACTTCATTTCAGTTCTTGTCCGTTTGGTCCATCAGTTGCCTATTTCATTATTATTATTATCATTATTTTCCCCGAAGATTGAGCTGCTTGGGCACTGTTCACGAAGTCCCGATACATTCGGGAAGGCGCGCCATCAACCATCAGCCAACTACACCGTGGGTTAAGTGATCATTGGGTCCGAGATTCATGTGTCCTAAGCAAGCACAGTAAGCCAAGAATGACAGCCTTCTGCATCTGTCCGGTCAAGATTTCTGACTTAGTACGGCAAGCCGACATGAACTTAGAGTGCGGTGTTGTCATTTAATGAAAAATTGATCAAATCAATCGAATCAGGTGAGTGCCCTGTTGGGATCTTCTGTGATCTCAGCAGGGAATTTGACTGTGTTCAGCATGAGGTACTCTTGTCTAAATTGCACAAATATGGTATTCGTGGAGTGTCACTCGACTTGATACGGAGTTTCTTGACCCACAGAAAACAGTTTGTTAATATATCTTCCACTAAATCTGCATATCAAAATAACTCTATGGGCGTTCCCCAAGGCTCTGTTTTTATTCTACACGAATGACATGGATAATATCGAATCTGATGCCAGCTTTATTAGATATGTAGATGACACCAATATATTTGTCTCTGACAAATGTGAAAATACCTTGAAACAAAAGTATACAACTGCGGTTGGTAACCTCATTTCATGGTCTGATCAGAAGTCTCTCTATTTCAATTGTAATAAGACAAATATATTTCGATTCCACAACTACCAAAAACAATGCGAAACTGTTACAATAAAAATTGATGAAATCTTGATTGAGTCTACTTCATCAGTTAAATTTCTTGGAATTACTATAGATGCTGGTTTGAACTGGAAAGAACATTGTACCAACTTGATCTCAAAATTGAACTCATTACGTTTTATGTTCTGAAATCTTAAGAACATTTTGTTACGTGAACAATTTTATTCGTATTATATCATGCACAAGTAGCCTCCCGATTACGATATGGTATATGTTTCTGGGGTGTTTCCACTCGAGCACCAGATTCAAAGAACTGCGCCTCTAGCAAATGGTTAGTTCAAAATAGTGATAACAATGCTTGTCCTGTTAGATTATTCATTAAATTATTATCAAAACGAGGCACAAATATCAAGACAAATAGACTATTTTTAAGGCCAAATCGTCANATACTATTATAGACGTGTTTTGTCGGTGGATACAGACTGAGACATTGTCAAAAAAAAATTATAACAATAATGCATATTTTTACTCTGTATCGTTAGTCACAAAAAATACGTAAGTGTTATATACTCACAGCTGCCATATCTTTTATCAGATTGACAATGACCTCAGCGAGCTTTTTGCTGGCCGAGCCTCTGAGCCACCACCTTGCTCCTAGTACGTCTTCCGGCTGTATCGATGTGGCTAGTGTGACAGTATTCATTTCTTTTGGCATACTCCCATTGCCCGATTTACCTCTAACTTTTACTTGTAACGTTAACGACTTTGCTATCACGCTGAGGAAGACGTCCAGAATTCCGAGTCTGTAATAAAAATCAAGTTGATTTGAGTAGGAATTAAAAATGAAGTAACTCACTGATTAACGTCGAAATTTCCCGATGTTGCATCTTTGTTGGCAGCTGACACGATACTGAAATCTCTGGCAGGTAGTTTCTTAACGCCTATGACCCTTCCAAAGGCCTCTGGGGTTATTTCCGGCAATATCCTTCTCAACAGCGACGTCACCTAAATAACACCAGACCATTCCACATAAGAGCTATTGATAATATATCGTTACTACTACGTCAAACATGTTGAATAATTCGATCACAGGAATTGTAAGTCTTGTGTCACAACTTTCATTATCTTAACGTACCTGCCTCTGTACTCTGGCAGTCCCTGTGTGTAATAATGTCAAAATGTCTCCAATAAGTGCACATTGTTGCGACAGATATGCTCGTCCGACCGAACTGCCTGAGAGGGCTAGGACCATGGATAACATTTCGAAACAGTAAGTATCCGAGTATTTGACTCCGTCCTGGCTGTGGTTCGAGAATACTGATGAAATGCAAAGGTTTGATTCCCATTCAACGTGCACCCTCTCGGTCTCTCTCCTTATCGCTTGGACTATGTGGACAATAACCTGTTGATATTGATTGTTATTTGTTTTCATGTTTCTGATAAGATCCAATTTCTGATAACAGTGAAATAGATATTACCACAAAAAAGCATAAATTTGAAAAGAGTCTACGAATCAATTTGGAATATTATGTTTATAAATACGAATTTGGAGGAATAGCATATAAATGGATATAAAAATAGCTAAAAGACCAATACCCATCGAGTCATACACAGTTTACCAAAATAGTTCCTCGAGGTAGCGTACTAGGCCATCTTTGATCATTCTCCATACCAATGGCCTGATGTCTGAACATTTGTCTTCACCTTCATATTGAAGCAACTATTGCAAATGACTTATAAAACATCATATGCCAAGTGTTCCACTTTTATCTGTTCATATTCTTGTACTTTCTCCTCTATCCATTTAGTGAAAAAAAAATTGAGTACCCAACACTCTTGGCATTTATACAGTTGACATCCAAGTTATGCGTCATCTTCCGGGTATTTTGGCCGTGATCCGCAGGTTTTTATGCCTAAAGTTTCGTCTAAGACTGCGGAATACATTATCAAAGGTGATGGAGCAACATACTATTTGCTATATTGGTTCTCCCAGCAGATACTATATTATTGGAAGTTAACTCCAGTTTTACTCCTTTGTTGCATGAAAATACCTTATTTGTGTGCAAATTTCGGACAGGTAGTCAGATTTTACTTATGTTAATTCCCTCTTCCCTGTTTTGAAATTGCCGCTGTGTTTATGAATTTCTAATGCCTCCCAACATACTTTTGGATTGTGATTCTGAGTTGTGTTGAGTGTTTGTGTTTCTTCGAACGAGAAAATGTGATTTGTCGATTTGTCCAAGGAGACAATTTCTCTTGTGTTCATAGAACCGGGTACTTAAACTTCTTTTGTTTTCAATGTAGACCGACTCACAGCTACCAAGGAATTTGGTATATAGCCCCGTTGTTGCTAAAGGCTATCTAAGATCCTTAGCCTACCTCAGACTCTCTCTGATAGTTTACTTTGGCCTCCATGTCGATTTCACATTGTGGTTCTCCAATAACGAGCCTGACTGGGACTACTTTGGCGTTTTCTCTCCTGAGCTGTATTGCCTGCTCGAACTCTATTTAATTTCGCTGTACCCATTTCCTTCAAAGGCATTTTAGATAGTTGAATTCTTCGGGGAGACTCTCAGGTTCGCAGGTCAGATCCTCTCATATTAATTAAGTATTCCATCTACCGTGGCTGGTGATTCGACTTCTTATTCGGATACCTGCCTATGTGTGTCAGTTTTGGGTACACTGTATGACCAAATGTCCAATTTTCACGTCTGCAAACAGATGTGCGATGGATTTCTGAACAATGTATGCAAAATAAGCTAAAGTAACTCCAGATAGGCCCGTTATTGGAAAAAATTTTACACACCGATTGGGAGAATTCTGGAAAAACACAACGTGAATACCGATACTCAGGTCAACAGAAACTATCAGTCAGGTAAAGACCCCAGAGAGTCTTTAGCAGCACCAAGGGTATACCACGGATCCTTCGTAGTTGCGGTCGGACTGAAAAAAAGTATAAGTGCCCGGCTCTCTTAGTATTAAGGTAGGTAATAGAAATTATTACACAAAGACAATGTCAATAGAAGGAAGAGGGAACTGGCATGAATGAAATCTGTCTACTTATCCCAAATTGCACTAATGAGGTAATTTAATCCAATCCATAGGAACGAAGCCACGCATACTGCCATAGGGATAAAATTGGAGAAAAAATCCAATAATATGGTATCTTCTGCGAGGACAACTAGAGCACTTTGTCGTTACCTCATCGTCGTAACCATAGATAAAATGTGAGGCTTCAACATTTAGGAAACACGGCCAACAAACCCTACAAATAACTTCGACATCGTTATCTCCAGACATGAAATGTCACACCCTTGGATTCATAACTTCCCTAATGGAATAATCCATATGTCAAAAACTATTGGATGAAGCAGGATAAGATGTATACTTTTAATTTTTAGCCACAGTTACTGACCTGTTTCTGCAAATGCGTCAGCTTACTCCTACTAAACAGAATACCAACAACATGCTCCCTCAAATCATTGCTTTCCTCATTTGGGTTCAGGCTATCGCTCATCGAGGCAGATCCACTATGAGTGTCCGCGCCGTTTGCATTTTGCCCTTCTTCGCCTTGCAGCAGTTTCCCGAAAACCTGTGACGTAATGAGTCTGAACACCCTCAGAGTTTCCGCTTCGCAGTATTTCTGCTGGAGTGTACTGGCGGTGAACTGTTTTCCCACTCTGAGGGATTCCCCTTCTATGTTCCCCAGTACTCGTATTTGTCTCACACGCACCGAGTTATCTGGTCCTTTGAGTTCAAGTCTGACAACCGTTGTGGTTGGATCTAGAAGAGGGACAGCTTTTATTAAAAATTGCAGAGTTTCATTTTACTGGCGCCTCCAAGGATTCACAAAGCTGTACGAGAACAATACATGCAATCAAAATAAGAGGAACAATCATTTAAAAACTTTTTATGAACTTCACTGACAGATAAAGCAGAGATGCGGACAGTAGCAGAACATAAAATCATGCAATTCTGATATCAAAAGGGTGTACATTAATATTTTCTAGTAAATAATTCATATGAGAGTACTTTATAGGTTAGCTTAGGTTCAAAGTGAGTGGGTTTATTGGTTGCGGTGGAGAGTCGAATCCGACCAAATAAACCCAGCTTCTTAACGAAGCCGATTAGTTTGTATGGTGAGTGGTCTTTCAGGTCAGATGGTAAGAGTATGGCTCTGCCGAACTCCTAATTCGGTCCCCAGCGGGACAGGCACAAAGTATGTGCTCTGCTGTTTCACGACCTGTGAGAAGACCTGTTAGACATCGTAGTTCATCCCTACTGTAGTCCAACAACTGTTTGGTATCAAGCTTCGAAGGGTGAATAAACGCTTTGGAGTGAGCCAATGCTGGAAGATTCTGCCAGAAGTCCATAAATATTCTTGCTATCCAACTGTTCAATCTTCGTTTGGTAAAGCCTAAAGCGATGCCGATGACAGGTTCTGGTCCAATGAAGCTGCTTGCAGCATCCTCCTTTACAAGGGAATCAGCAGCCATATTGCCCTTCAGGTGAGTATGGCAAGGAATTCAGTCCAGAGACAATCTGTCAAGTATTCCTATCGAGGAAAGTCGTTTTTGCCAATTTGCTACCATTTTAGACGTTGCTCGGTAGGAGCCAAAAGTTTCCAACGCCACTTGACTGTCCTAGAATATTTTTATTGACTTGTGTATGAAGTTGGATTCTTCCAATCTCTCCGCACACAATTCAATAGCGTAAATTTCCGCTTGAAATAAAGTCGCATAGGTTCCTAGGCAGGTTGATATCTCTGTCCTGGGTCTGCGACTATGTAGATCCTCATCAGAAAAGTGAAGTCTCGAGAAAAAAATATGGTAATTTCAAAGTTGAAGTCTGGAGAAAAAATTTGAGATAAAACCAAAATGAAGCGGTGTATCCCTTCTATTTCATCGTAAGAACATAGTTGTTATACTAATATTCACGAGTATTTTTGTATCATGATATTCAAACTATTTATTTATATTTCATTAGAGTGTTTCAAAAGTTTTGTCCGTTTTCATGAGTCTACTTTGAACTGTGAACACTCATTCGATTTAATCGAAATAAGTGCACTTTTGCCAACGTAAGTAATGTCAGCATGAATGTACGTGCTCAGGATTCGATAAGTTGACGAAGGCCGTTCGTGCCTGGTCCTGATTGACGAAGGTTCTACCAGTGAGAAAATTATCTAAGTGCTGGAAAAAGATGATAGCCGGTTGGCGAGAGGTCTGCGGAGTATGCTAGATGTGGCAGAACTTCGTCGCTCAATTAGTTTAATATTAGGACGGTGAACTGTGCAACGTGCGGACGGGCGTTGTCGTGGAGCAGAATCAAACCTCTTCTGTTGACCAGTGCCGGCTGCTGCTAACCCAAGTTTCGGTACATTTCGTCGTTTTTCTCACAATAGGATTCTACTACTGTTATAGTTTGGCCTGGTTGCATACATTTTTTATGAATCACACCAGCTGCTCATCAACATACAGTAAACATGTGTCTTGAACGTCTCCTGCTGTCGTAGAGGATCCACGTCTTAGAGGATACGTTTTAAGCCATCAAAGACCGCATGGCAGCTGACGCCCAGTTCTTCCGCCATCCCACCCACCGTTTGTGATGGCTCAGTCTCCACCAAGGTCCTCAAATCCTCATCCTGGATCACTGAAGTCAATGTATAGAGTACAAAATCCTCTATTGATCAGTATACACCACGACACAGTAGAATAAATAGTTATTGATATATGGAGTTACAAAAACGCGTGACACTGAAACGAACAAAAATTTTGAAACAACCTTCGTTTTTGTATATCTATCGTTATCATCTCTCACCCCTAGATCTCTGCAATTATCGATGTGTATACAAATCAAAACAGGATGATGCCCTTGCGGACAAATCATCGTCACGCTCTTCGTCTTATTCCTATCCTCGTCGCCGGATTCCCAGAAAGTTTCGGTCGAATTGTCCGTCAAGCTCCCTACCATAGCCTGACGACTCGAAGCTTTGATTTCGAGTGTCGAAGTCAAGTCCTTCAGGCATTCGACGGTGGCGGTGATCTGATTCAGAGCGCTCTCGTGCATCGAAACGGTGAAATCCTCCATTTCCTCGCTCCTCGACAGGATTTTGCTGATGTTGCTGAAGACTTGCGACCGGTGCAAGAACGAGTGATCGGACGAGGTGAAACGTATACCCCAGCAACGGATGGCGATCTGTTGGAGGGCCGAGCCCATGGGCAGGAGGACCATCAGGTCGGCGATGGTTTGGAGGAGAGAGTGAAAGGTGCTTGGCAGAGGGTGGACGGCTTCTCCGGCTATTGTGATGTCGGAGAGGGGATGTTCGCAAACGTTCAAATCCTGAAAAGTATCAAAAAACATTTTAAGGAATACCAAAAAAAGAATCCAAAAAGAAGTGAGTTCATTTCTCATTTCACAATAAAATTTATAAGACTATATAGATATTTTTGAAACTGTTTTGATGACCGTATCAGTATAAACCAGCGGTTCCCAACCTGGGGTACGCGTATCCCTTGGGGGTATGGAACGACCTGGTTGGGGGTACGCCGAAAATATTTGGTAATGGCGGACTTTATGTGTTTTTATGTGTTTGTCGTACGTTACGTACGTGGTGGTTGAAAAGTACAGCACAGTACAGTACTGAAGTTTTTGCCACGCTTCATGATTTCTTGAGTGACAATTATCTGCCCATATCTGACAAAGTGAAACATCAAATAATGACACATTTGACAAACCTGAAGGGCTCTTTTAGAAAGTATTTTCCTAAACGAGGTGACGGAGAGAACTGGATTGCAGATCCTTTCAATGAAGAAAACGTCAAGACTGCTACATTGACCGTTCATGAGATGGAAAAGCTCCTAGAACTTTCAAGTGACTCCTCCTTGAAGTCCGAGTTCAACAAGAAACCCCTTGGACAATTCTGGGTGTACATTAGGGATGAATATGGACCCTTAACCACAAAAGCCCTTCTGGTTTTACTTCCTTTTACAAACACAGAACTAGTTGAGAGATCGTTCTCTTCCTATGCTTTTATTAAGAATAAGTATAGGAGTAAGCTAAATGCAAGTCCTGATTTAAGAGTGTGTTTATCTACCTTTGATATTGATTTCAAAATATTATGTGCAACAAAACAGGCCCAAGAGTCACACTAAAACAGTTTTGACTTGTTTCAAGAATAATTTTGATTTCTTTTTTTTCAATAAACTTATTTGCTAATTATAGTATGTTTCCGTGATAAGAAACATTGTATTTACTTTGCTATTATTTTTTTTACAGTTGGTATTTAGAATTTACTAAGTTTACTAGACACATATATAGGCCTAATTTTGGAACAATAACTTTATTGTCAAATAAAAGATAAAAAAAACTTATGCGTAAATATTTACTTTTCATGATTATTGTTCTTGCAATTTTTTTTCTTGGGGGTACAATATCAAATAAATTTATCTCAAGGGGTACGGCAGTGAAAAAAGGTGGGGAACCGCTGGTATAAACAATCCATTTCAATTTACCATAAATTTAAACAACCATATTTTCAACAGAACAGTCGCTTTCATTTGTCAACTCTTCATATTGCATAGGATCTAATGTAACATTTCGGTTATTTTTTTTTTGGGGAAAAATAACAAATTTAGTTTTCTTTGGATCGACACAAACAAAGTATCAACATGAATTGAGCTTTCTAAAACGGTTAGGTTTTAATTTACAAATAAAAGTACTATATACATCAAATCTTAACTTGCTCTCAATTTGAAATATTGTTTTGAATCTTGGGGTGTTATAGTGTTATTACAGAACGCATACCTCCTACAGATATGCTATATCATTTATCTTGTGATCGATTGGGACTTTATTTTCAATTGAGGTGAACTTTCACATCGAAACTCACTTTTGAATGCTCTTTACTTCCAAAACACAACAAAATATCCGATTTTTCTCTCGGTATGAGAGTACACCTGATTTGAAAATAAGACCCCAGACAGTGTCCATTCTTCATCTCAAACCATCGCAAAACACCTTTTGAGTTTAGAGACATTTTTTTAAGATCAATACAAAATAACAGTTGACAAACAGAATATTCGCTTACTTCGATAGTTATTTTGCGATTTGCAATTCGCAACGAACATGCCAACATTCAGATGAGTCTCAATCACTGGCGTAGCGTAGTGGGGGGCGAAGAGGGCGGCCCGCCCCGGGCGGCACTTTTCAGGGGCGGCAAAATTTCACAGTAAATAATAAAATATATTTTGTAAATATTTGAATCATTTCATATTTCAATGAAACTATAAATTCGGACCGATTGAAAAGAGCACGGAATTTTTCATTACTTTTCAATTATGTCGATTGAATAATACCTATGTACCTGTTATATCACTAGTTGAAGTAAGAATTTTTGTATCAATAAACGTGATTGTAAAACAAATAAACTTTTTTTTAATCTAACCTGTATAATGCGACCTGTATAATGATGACTATTCTTACCGAAAAGTTCTCTAGAATTAATTTATATAATGTATAGTATACATTGAATTAAAATACATAATTAAGAGGGCGGCAAAATAGTCTTCCGCCCCGGGCAGCCAATACCCACGTTACGCCACTGGTCTGAATGCCCCCAAGCACGATCACTGAAAAACGACCTTATTTACCGAACATGTTTATTTCAAATGCATGTTGTTCAATTTGCAAAATATAAGAGAGTTACAAAGTTCATTCAACACACCTCTAATTCCCTCTAGATTTTTTAAAAGATTTGAATGACTTTTTTCAGATCGCTATTACTTCGCATTCGTATTGAACTGCTGTATAGCTCCAGCTGCCTTGCTCAAGGATCAAACGGTCTTTGTTGAGGCCCGGTGTGTTTCAACAGAGCTCTGCAGCTTCCCCACAACCGACGACGTGTGGCTATTGGCCACTTGGTTGTCCTTATCAGGACTACCCCGAAAAGAATTCGTCTACTACGGTTCCGGCCACAATGATGGACCCACTAGCCGGACTCCTTCGACGTATTTGCTCCACCCAGGACATCTGAAGGTACGCCGACCTAGCCCACTTACGGGGCAGCCTACGTGGGCTGTGCCACTTCACTATTAGCTGGGGGCTTTAAATGTGAGTGTGCTTCCGGAGATAGTTCCCACCATAGGGCTAGGTGGCTAGGTAGGTCGAGTCGCGGAGTGTGTCGAGTAGGTTCAGGGACTCGTAGGCAACCTGATCCGGCCGTGTGCCATCGTGGTGGCCAGTCGTACCCCCGAGGCGCCTTTAGTTTAGTTAGTGGCTAGGGAATGTCCCGTTAAATCGAACCTTTGCTTTCACCGTGGTTTCCACGAGAGATAGAGAATCAGAAATTCTCGGGTAATCTTATACTGGAATCCCATAAGATCCTGGGTTTTAGACCCTTCGGCGATCTGGTCGATGAGCGGCAAGCAGCCTTGAGACCGAAGCTCTGTCACAAATCCATGCCCAGCCGGACACTTCCGTCAAAAAGACGCTCCGAAGATGGACCGATTCAAGTGCTGTCTTGGTGACAGACCTGTTCCCCGAGCAGTGTAGTACGTGCAGTGACGGCAATAACAGTACTGCATCCATCCTTATCTCCTTCAATAATGTCAAGCGCAGTTTTAGGCAAAACACAATGCATAAAAGCCTGAAGATTGCGGCCAATAAACCCGGACAATAGCTTTGACGCAGTTACTTCTGACAGTGAGAGTTTACATTCTACAAGATACAACATAAATGATTTTAAATTTTGGGGGGACCGTCATAACATGTTGCATCTGATACATTTTACTCACCAGTTCATCGTCTCTCTTTGGTAATCTGTTGTCTTCCTCTGGTTCATTCTCCATTTCTATTGGTGTTAAAGACGTAACAAACCACCACAACAAGTCGTGCAAGCAAATAGGCTGTGTAACGGACCTCAGCAACCAGTTCAGAGCTTGCATTGCATAGACTCTACACATTGCTTTCCTTGAAAAAGAAATATCTTTCAGAAATAAATTTAAAAAAAACAAAAATTGAGTCCCCAATACTCTTAGCAGTTATACTGTTTCTCCAGTACCTGCTGTACAAACCAAATTCAAATACTTGTTTTGTAATCAGAGGCCTGATTACTAAAAAGATTTTCAGAAACTGTTTCGGTTTTGATACTCGTATCATCGTTGGGTGATACACACATTCCTTCTTTCTTCTGAGGCATCAAATGTAATGGTTCAGCAAAAATTTCATGAAATCTAGTTGTATTTGATTGGAAAATTTGTTTGCAGAGCCAGTCCACGTAATCCTCTGATGAATTGCCAATTAAGAAAATTTTGTCCAATCGAAACTGTTTATTTTTAAGGACATTGGATAGGAAAGATAAAAGACTTGATACAAACTCTGAAATTGTCTGGTGAATGATTCAATTGAAATATTTTCAAAAAGTGACTTCACGAGGTCTCCATAAGGTAGATTTTTCAGAATATTTTCTGGCCCTTAAAATACTGCTACGCTATTATAATGATCACTTCCAATAGCAGCATATAGAATTTGTGTTATATAAATTGGATTGATTCAACTCTTTATCTTATATTTTTCAAACTATCCGATGATTGATTTGAATTGAATTTCTCAGTGTTATTTCACTCGTGGCGAATTATTGTATTTTTTTATTAAACAACGACTGGAACACAAAATACAGTTGACGACTGGAACAGTTGACATCCAAGTTATGCATCATCTTCCGGATTTGTTGGCCGTGATCTGCAGGTTTTCATGCCTGAAGTTTTGTCTAAGACTGCGGAATACATTATCAAAGGTGATGGAGCAACATACTATTTGCTATATTGGTTCTCCCAGCAGATACTATATTATTGGAAGTTAACTCCAGTTTTACTCCTTTGTTGAATGAAAATACCTTATTTGTGTGCAAATTTCGGACAGGTAGTCAGATTTTACTTATGTTAATTCCCTCTTCCCTGTTTTGAAATTGCCGCTGTGTTTATGAATTTCTAATGCCTACCAACATACTTTTGGATAGTGATTCTGAGTTTTGTTGAGTGTTTGTGTTTCTTCAAACAAGAAAATGTGATTTGTCGATTTGTCCAAGGCGACAATTTCTCTTGTGTTCATAGAACCGGGTACTTAAACTTCTTTTGTTTTCAATGTAGACCGACCCACAGCTACCAAGGAATCTGGTATATAGCCCCGTTGTTGCTAAAGGCTATCTAAGATCCTTAGCCTACCTCAGACTCTCTCTGATAGTTTACTTTGGCCTCCATGTCGATTTCACATTGTGGTTCTCCAATGACGAGTCTGACTGGGACTACTTTGGCGTTTGCTCTCCTGAGCTGTATCGCCTGCTCGAACTCTATTTCATTTCACTGTACCCATTCCCTTTTTAAAATCATGCAATTCTGATATCAAAAGGGTGTACATTAATATTTTCTAGTAAATAATTCATATGAGAGTACTTTATAGGTTAGCTTAGGTTCAAGGTGAGTGGGTTTATTGGTTGCGGTGGAGAGTCGAATCCGAAGCCGATTAGTTTGTATGGTGAGTGGTCTTTCAGGTCAGATGGTAAGAGTATGGCTCTGCCGAACTCCTGATTCGGTCCCCAGCGGGACAGGCACAAAGTATGTGCTCTGCTGTTTCATGACCTGTGAGAAGACCTGTTAGACATCGTAGTTCATCCCTACTGTAGTCCAACAACTGTTTGGTATCAAGCTTCGAAGGGTGAATAAACGCCTTGGAATGAGCCAATGCTGGAAGATTCTACCAGAAGTCCATAAATCTTCTTGCTATCCAACTGTTCAATCTTCGTTTGGCAAAGCCTAAAGCGATGCCGATGACAGGTTCTGGTCCGATGAAGCTGCTTGCAGCGTCCTCTTTTACAAGGGAGTCAGCAGCCATATTGCCTTTCAGGTGAGTATGGCAAGGAATTCAGACCAGAGACAATCTATCAAGTATTCCTATCGAGGAAAGTCGTTTTTGGCAATTTGCTACCATTTTAGACGTTGCTCGGTAGGAGCCAAAAGTTTCTAACGCCACTTGACTGTCCTAGAATATTTTTATTGACTTGTGTATGAGGTTGGATTCTCTCCGCACACAATTCAATAGCGTAAATTTCCGCTTGAAATAAAGTCGCATAGGTTCCTAGGCAGGTTGATATCTCTGTCCTGGGTCTGCGACTGAAAACACCTGCACCAGAACCGGAAGGTGTTTTTGATCCATCTGTGAACCACCTGCTCTCAATATTTCCTTCTGCCGGAGAATCCAGTCCTCTCTACTCGGGAACAGTATTTTATAAGGCAGTTCGTAGTTGACTAGAGTACCTTATACATAATGAAGATAGAGTATATTTTCGAAAACTGATATATTCATTTACATTCATCAATGGAATCAAAATGATAGAAAATACTGCTTAAGATATTAAATTGTGGGTTATTCTATAGCAAAGGGAATTCACTACTATAAAAGCCTACAGTAAACACAAAGTTCAAATAGGTAGACTACAACAGAAAATCATGTGTGAGGAAAAAAAAAACAATCACTTTCGAAAATAATATGAAAGAAATATTAACAGTATTAAACATAGAAAGAAGTAGAAAAGATAGTAAAAAGTGCTGAACAGATAAAAATTGGAGCATATTGTTATCAAGCATATATTTCATTCCTACAGAATCACTTTCAAGAAAAACGAATATACTGCATGCACTATTTGAAATCTGTACAACACGATGCAACACAAAACCAACTTCAACACTAACCAGTAAATCCATGAAAGATCAATTAGTCTCACCTGCTACCGGACAACTGACCCAACCTCCTAACAATCTAGTTTCAACTTCGACAGTTCTTAATTTCAATAGTTCGTCACTATTTTGTCCAGAATAAAACGTTATTGATGATAGTTTATTCTGAAACAACACCATGTTCAATTAAAAACAATGTAAATGAAACATATCTCTGAAATATTCCAATTCAACCTATTGATACCAAGTTTCCTTGTAGGCTCATCTATAGCCTGATTAGCCCCCAGAGACTGCAGGCACTGAAAAGAAGGAGGAGGTCCGAATGGGCTGATGCAATCGGGAGGGGATATGTTTTCGGAAACCGACGGCATTATGCTGGCTGATGATGTCCTCTGGTGAGATATAGTAGGTTCGGCAGAGCTGGCTAGATCCAACAAGAACATCGCGTTATTCTTCATTATCACGTGAGGTTCTAGTCCCGCAGATGGTGACGATAACGTATTCACGGTTGCGAGTCTTCTGCTGACAGCCGTCTTGTGTCGAATGTTCGACGGTTTTCCGCCTTTACTAGATTTCAAGTACTTCTCACGACAATTTTCACAGAGCAAATACCAAGAACTGCCAGCTAACGAAAGAAATTTCAATTGAATTTGGTTCAAGAAAATGATTTGGATTTCTACTTACGGGTTCCACCATCTCCGCAATTTCCGGCCCATCCTAGACAATAGCTTCCTCCGGAATTATACCCCTTACCTCCGGCATGTTGGCCGCAGCCTGGATGAGATTGGTGCATGTGATAGGTTACTGGGTGAGGAAAATTGTCGCCGCATAGTTCGCAGAGAGTGTCTACACCAGAGGACTGTAGGCAATTGGGCAAACTGCCTAAATCCTCTGGAAAAAATTCGGTTATGTTAAATACTTAAATATCACATGTTTATATATGTAAGACTCATAAAACCAGTTTGAATATTCACCCAAAACAACTTCAAATCAAATATTGAATAAATGTGAAACAACTTTCATAAAAGATCTGAAGAGGAAAAAGTTGACATTATGATTAAACATTGATATACATCCTACAAAATTTCCGTTTGTAAAAACCAAAAGTGAAATATATACAGCGTGACTCACGGTCGATGGTAGGTTAGACGTTTCTGGAAAATGCAAAGCATGATTTTTCTGAAAATTTCACCTTTCACATTTCCTTACCTGTTCTATCGATCTAAAATATTTTCAGCATTGCGGCGTTGCCACTTCCATCAAAAAGTCCTAGCAACTTTATTTTTTTTAATGGAACACCCCGTATATTAATACATTTTTGGAACCGCTCTGGTATTTTAATACTTTTTTGTGAATAATGTCTTATACCTATCTCTATCTGTTTTCGAGATAAAAAATAAATTGTGCTAAATATGGTCCAAAACATAGCCTAAATTGAAATTAAGTACATCAGTACTCTCAATTCATGAAAAGTTGATATTTTGATGATAGTTTGGACAAACTCGAAATATCCAAATAACACCAAGAAATCGACTCCATATCATACAGGGCATGCTAAAATTACTATTATTTCCATTGTGCATAAAAGTAGTCAAAAGTTCATTTTTTCAAATGAAATCCCCCGTATATTACTCGGTAAATTGAAAGATGGTGAAAAATGCTTTAAGATGATATGTCCCTATACCTAAATCGTCAAGTTTTCTCAATAAAGTCGCTTCTTCTAGAAACATTATTTTTTTTGGACTTAGGTAGCAGTGGAATTATCAAGCTTATAGCAGTTCGGTTACTTTTATAAGTAATTTACAAAGAGTTATCGACGGTGTTTCGAATCATCTT